AACTTATTTCACTTAGCATAATACCCTCCAGTTTCATCCATGTTGCTGCAAATGGCCAGATTTCATTCTCTCTTGTTGCCAGGTAGTGTCCCATTGTATATATAAACCACATCTTTATATCCATTTGTCAGTTGATGGACATTTACGCTCTTTCCATGATTTGGCTATTGTTGAAAGTGCTGCTGTAAACATTGGGGTACATGTGCCCCTATGTATCAGTACTCCTATATCTCTTGGGTAAATTCCTAGCAGTGCTATGGCTGGGTCATAGGGTAGTTTTACTTTTAATTTTTTGAGGAATATCTATACTGTTTTCCAGAGCAGCTGCACTAGTTTGCATTCCCATCAACAGTGTAAAAGGGTTCCATTTCTCCACATCCTCACCCGCATGTATAGTCTCCTGATTTGTTCATTTTAGCCACTCTGACCAGTGTGAGGTAGTATCTCAGTGTGGTTTTCATTTGTATTTGATGAGTGACATTGAGCATCATTTCATGTGTCTGTTGGCTGTCTGGCTGTCTTCTTTGCAGAAGTGTCTGTTCATGTCTTCTGCCCATTTCTTCACTTATTGTTTTTTGACTTTTGAGTTTGGTGATTTCCTTATAGATTTTGGATACTAGCCCTTTATCCGACATTCATTTGCAATTATCTTTTCCCATTCCGTTGGTTGCTTTTGAGTTTTGTTGATTGTTTCCTTTGCAGTGAAGAAGCTTTTTATCTTGATGAGGTTCCAATAGTTCATTTTTGCTTTTCTTGCCTTTGGAGATGTGTCGAGTAAGAAACTGCTGCAGGGGGGCGCCTGGGTGGCTTAGTCGGTTGAGCATCCGACTTTCGCTTAGGTCATGATCTCGCGGTTCACGGGTTCGAGCCCCGCGTCGGGCTCTGTGCTGACTGCCAGCTCAGAGCCTGGAGCCTGTTTCAGTCTGTGACTCCCTCTCTCTCTGACCCTCCCCTGCTCACGCTGTCTCTCTCTCTCTCTCCTAGAAAAAAATAAAAATATAAAAAAGAAAGAAAGAAAGAAACTGCTGCAGGTTAGGTCAAAGAGTTTGTTGCCTACTTCCTCCTCTATGGTTTTGATGGTTTCCTGTCTCATATTTAGGTCTTTCATCCATTTTGAGTTCATTTTTGTGTAAGGTGTAAGAAAGTGCTCTAGTTTCATTCTTCTGCATGTCGCTGTCCAGTTCTCCAAGCACTATTTGCTAAAGAGACTGTCTTTTTTCCATTGGATACTTTCTTGCTTTGTCAAAGATTAGTTGGCCATACATGTGTGGGTCCAATTCTGGATTCTCTATTCTATTTCATTGGTCTATGTGTCTGTTTTTTTTGTTGTTTTTTTTTTACCAATACTAAACTGTCTTGATGATTACAGTTTTGTAGTATAGGCTAAAGTCTGGGATAGTGATGCCTCCTCTTTTGGTTTTCTTCTTCAATATTACTTTGGCTATTCAGGGTCTTTTGTGATTCCATACAAATTTTAGGATTGTTTGTTCTAGCTTTGGGAAGAATGCTGGAACAATTTTGATTGGGATTGCATTGAATGTGTAGATTGCTTTGGGTAGTATTGACATTTTAACAATATTTATTTTTCCAATCCATGCACATGGACTTTTTCTATTCCTTTGTTTTTCCATTTCTTCAATTCCATTCATAAACTTCCTAGACTTTTCAGCATACAGATCTTTTATATCTTTGGTTAGGTTTATTCCTAGGTATTTTATGGTTCTTGGTGCAACTGTGAATGGGATCAGTTTATTTCTCTTTTTGTTGCTTCATTATTGGTGTATAAAAATGCAACTGATTGCTGTACATTGATTTTCTACCCTGTGACTTTGCTGAATTCATGGATCAGTTATAGCAGACCTTTGGTGGAGTCTGTTGAGTTTTCCATGTAGAGTATCATGTCGTCTGCGAAACGTGAAAGTTTGACTTCATCTTTGCCAATTCTGATGCCTTTTATTTCAGTTTGTTGTCTGATTTCTGATACTAGGACTTCCAACACTATGTTAAACAACAATGGTGACAGTGGATATCCCTGTCGTGTTCCTGATCTCAGGGAGAAAGCTCTAGTTTTTTCCCATTGAGGATTATGTTAGCTGTGGGCTTTTCATAAATGGCTTTTATGATGTTTAAGTATGTTCCTTCTATCCCGACTTTCTTGAGAGTTTTTATCAAGGAAGGATGCTATAGTTTGTCAAATGCTTTTTCTGCATCTATTGACAAGATCATCTGGTTCTTATTTTTTCTTTTGTTAATGGGATGTATCACATTGATTTGCGAATATTGAACCAGCCCTGCAACCTAGCAATGAATCCCACTTGATCATGGTGAATAATTCTTTTTATATGCTGTTGAATTCAATTTGCTAGTATATTGTTGAGAATTTTTGCATCCATATTCATCAGGGATATTGGCCTGTAGTTCTCTTTATTTTTGCTGGGTCTCTATATGGTTTGGGAATCCAAGTTATGCTGGCTTCATAGAATGAGTCCAGAAGTTTTCCTTCCATTTCTATTTTTTGGAACAGCTTGAGACAGATAGGTTATTAACTCTGCTTTAAATGTCTGGTAGAATTCCCCAGGGAAGCCATCTGGCCCAGGGCTCTTATTTGTTGGGAGATTTTTGATAACTGATTCAATTTCTTCACTAGTTATGGGTCTGTTCAAATTTACTATTTCTTCCCATTTGAGTTTTGATAGTGTGTTTGAGAACTTGTCTATTTCTTCCAGGATGTTCAATTTGTTGGTGTATAATTTGTCATAGTATTCCCTGATAATTTCTTGCATTTCTGAGGGATTGGTTGTAATAAATCCATTTTCCTTTTTTTTTTTTTTTTTTTTTAATCCATTTGGGTCCTCTCTCTTCTTTTTGAAAAGCCTGGCTAGAGGTTTATCAATTTTGTTTATTCTTTCAAAAAACCAACTCTTGGTTTCATTGATCACTTGTGATTTTTAAAAAGTTTTTAATGTTTATTTATTACTGAGAGACAGAGACAGAGTATGAGCATGGGAGGGGCAGAGAGAGAGGGAGACACAGAACCTGAAGCAGGCTCCAGGCTTTGAGCTGTCAATGCGGGGCTTGAACTCACAGACTGCAAGGTCATGACCTGAGCCGAAGTCGGTTGCTTAACTGACTGATCCACCCAGGCAACCCACTTGTGATTTGTTAATGACATTTTTTTTCTCTAGCTTACTTTATTGTAAGAACACAGTAATTAATACATATAAGTTACAAAATACGTATTAATAGATTGTTATTGGTAAGCCTTCTAGTCAACAATAGACTATTAATAGTTAAGTTTTTGAGAAGTCCAAAGTTATATGTGGATTAAATTGGGCCAGGGGTGGGCACCCCTAACACCCTGTTATTCAAGGGTCAACTGTAGGTCTATGAATGTATTAATGCTAGTTCATGCCTCTGTGGATTTTCTTAGGATCTTGTCTGGATGTCTGGAATACCATCTTCCGTAGAACCTAAGGAGGTTCAAGAAGACCTCCAACTGTCTTCTTTTTTTTTTTTTTAAGACTTAAAAAATTGTTTTAATTTTATTTGAGAAAGAGAGAGAGTACAAGCAGGGAACAGGGGCAGAGGGAGAGAGAGAGGGAATCCCAAACAGGTTCCATGCTCAGCACTGACACGGGCCTCAATCGCACAACCCCGGGATAATGACCTGAGCGAAAATCGAAGAGTCGGATGCTCAGGTGACTGAGTCACCCAGGAATCCCTCCAGCTGTCTTCTTTTAAACTCAACTGAAAAATGACTTTGTGACCACTCCTTCTTCAGTGTTAAATATCTCTCTATTCTTGACATTACTACCCTACTATTATTTATTATTTGTCTCCCTCATAAATAGATGGTGAGCAACTTAAGAGTGAGGACAATGCTTGGCAAAATGTTTAATAGAAAACAAGCCCTCATTATAGGTGAAATAACATCTGTGAAACTCATTGAAAATTGAGAAGTTTTACAGAAAATTTCTTCATAAAAAGCTAAGGCATTGTTATTTTTGTATTATAGTCTCTTGCAAAAAATGTATTCTTTTCTAAATGTGAGTAATGCAATGCAGCTATTTGTAAGATATCCACCTTACCATGATAGTATAATTATTATCATCATATGAAAGATGAATTAATACCTAAAGCCAACATCTAAAGCCAGCTCTATACCGTCCACCAAGGCCCCAGCAGGATACTTTACATATATTTACAAATATTAATTCATTTAATCCTCATGAAACTTCTAGTTAGGTCACATCATTATCTCTATTTTACAAATAGGAAAACAGAAGCACAAAGAAATTAAACCATGGAGCTAAAGGTGGCAACTTTTGCCTTTCAAACTAGGCACCTGGGCTCTAAAGCCTATTCTTTTCATGTCCATAATATATTTATTATTTACTCTTTACAAAGCAGAGAGTAAATGCACTGTTTCTGTTTTTGCTTCTATAGCTATATTAAAAGAGTATAACTCTATCTAATTGTGTTGAATGCAAAAAAAAAAAAAAAAAAAAAAGCAAGCACAACTGTGGCTTCCAGATTCCTTGCGGCGGAATTACAAATATATTATGAAATATAAGGAACACAAAAATGTTTCTTACCAACTTGAAATGTTCACTGACAACTATAACTCACAAGCCATGGCTTTAAAAACACTACCTTAAAATCTTAACCTTTCTTCAATTTAACATTTTAGAAAAACTATCAAATAGCAGTGAATTTAAAATAATACTATGTGATAAACTGGGTTTTATGTGCATACTACAGTTGCAGTGACATTGCTGAATCATTGTATATTGGGTGTGTAAAATGCTCCATGAAACTGGATTACTTGTATAGACTTCACTTAGGGATAACAGAATAATCAAGAAGGAGTAAACATGAAAAATAGGAGTTTAGAAATTGCCTCCCTAAATGAAGTATCTTTAATAACTTCCCTATTAATAATTTAATATAGTTTTAAAGACAGTAAATACTCATTTAAAAAACTATATGAAATAGGTTACCTGCAAATGGAACAGAACTTTTTTGTTTTTTTCTATCTCTGATGTTTGTGATTGTTGTTGCTTTGCAACTTGCTCCACAGCATCAGTTAATGAAGATGTGTCTTGGTTAGCCAGAGCTAGACAAAGAATAAAGTACATAATAAAAATTTAAGTGTAATAACTCAAAGAGAGTTAGTGTTTCTTTACTTGAAGTCATGAAAAATGTGATATTTCTTATAAATAAAGTAGATTTAGGGTTGGTAATATTCCCTTTCTGACTATAAACAAAACCAAAATCAATGCAATAATACTATGCAATTCAGAATCACCTACTGTAATGTTATACCTGTTCCTGTATGGAATAGTATAAATATTTTGATTGTCCTCATCTTTTTTATCCAGACCACTTATACACAGACATAATTACTGTGCTACCATTAACAACTATATAGCAATTATAGTTGATGAATTTTCATTATAGGCCTGTATTTCCAGGTTGTTATGCCTTTTCTAAATATCATATAAGTTCCTTCTGGGAGAAATTTAAGTTTCCCTCCATTCTATTTGGCTATAAATTTTAACACAATCATCCTATCATACTACTTTTTTGGTGTTATCTTTTATTTATTTCTTAAGACTGCTTCATTACCTTCTTCAGGAACTCCTTGACTCTTCATTTCTTTGTTGCCTGACATTCTGTGTCTCTTTCCCCCTTTTTGGTTTCCCTCTTTTGTGCCTATAAAGTAATCAATATTGATAATTTCTCACTTTTCTTTTTTTTTTGTGTGTTTGTCATATATCCTGGAGATCCTGAAAGCAAATTGGTTATACCTCAAAAGAGATGACAAGGATATTTCATCATTAGTTCCTAGAATTAAAACACAATGGTTAAATGAAAGAGCTTTGGAGGAAAATTGAACTGTATTTGTAACTTGGTTCTCCCACTTTTTAGCTGTTATGACCTTGAGCAAATTACTTAACTTCTTTGATCATCAGGGTCCTCATCTATAAAGCCTCAAAAGGCTGTCATAATAAGGTGATATGTGTAGCATGCTTAGCATAGAGCCTGACATACATAGTAAGTAATTATTATGGACTCTGTCTAGGGTTTCCTTTGCTAGTTCCTCCTCAGCTTCCTCATCTATGTCAGTGTCCCAATGCTAAGTCCTCAGGTATGTTTTCTATACTCACTCTTCAAGTGATGTCATCTAGTTGTATAGCCTTAAAACCCACTTACAGGTTTTATCCTATTCATATCTCTAATTTGAACATCCTTCTTGATCCCCAGACTCAAATCTCAAATAGATTTGAAGACGTTTCAACTTAATATATTCCAAACTGAACTCTGTATTTCTCTGTTCACTCTACCACCACCACTAAACCTCCTCCTTCACAGTCTCCTCCACCTCAGTAAAAGCTTTTTGCTTGTTTAGGCCCAAAACTCCAGAGACATTAGCAAGGAGTTCTCTAAAAAAGTGCAGAACACACAACAATTCAACAAGACTTGCTCAAGGTAATCATAAGTAAGAGTTCATTGTTGATGTTTCATAGGCCCTTTGGGAAATCCCTTAAGATATTTTCCAAGTATGTGGCCCAGGACTTCTGCCTCAATTGTCTACCCAAAGGACAAGCCAGAATCTTGACTTTTTTCTCTTACACGATCCATGCAATTCTTTTAGCAAAACCTATTGGTTCTGTTTTTAAAGTCTAATGGAATCTGCTCACTACTTAGCACTTCCAAATACTATCTTAGTAGAGAAGGCTGCCCTGATAACCTTCTTTAAAACATGACCTCCCCTTCTTCATTCTCCATTTTCTGACCCTGCCTCCTTTTTCTTAATAGCATTTGTCACCACTGATATTTTATATACATTGTTTCTTTGCTATCTCCCTTTACTAATATAAGCTCCACAAAGGTAGAGACCTGAAACGGTGCCTGACACTTTCTAGCTGTCTGTTTGTAGTCTATCTTCATTCCAATTTACCCTGTTCTACGGATAGAATAATGCTCCTAAAATACTGTGCCCACCATGTCCACATCACAAGCTTTCAACTCCATCATGGATGGCATTTTCCTTAAGAAGGCTTGCTTGATCTTTCTGTGTAGATATGATCCCTCCCTCTTTTTAGTGCAATTGTTTCTATATCTCTGTTATACCATGATGACAGTTTAGGACATAGAGTAAGATAGAGCCAGCTTTGAATTCAGGTTGTACCACTTACTAGTTTATTATGTAAATTCTTTCCAATCTGGGCCTCATATTCTTTATCTATAAAGCAGAAACAACAGTAATACCTATCTTGTTAGGATTATTGTGAGGACTAAATGAAATAATGCAAGACAACATGTAGCAAATTCCCGCTACTTAACAGTTTTTATTATTATTTCCATTATTTTATACATATTTCTCCATTAGACTATAAGCTCCAGGAAGACACATACAGTGTCTTACTCACTTTTGTATTCCCTAAAAACCTGTTGGAGAAATCTTGAAAAATGAAAAACATTAGATTTATATAATAAACAAACTGGTATATAACTGGTATATTCATGTAATAAAAAGTAACTGGTTCTTCTTGATCTCTATTTCTAAAGCAACGTAAATTGAAAAACTCTTGGGAGATATTTATTTAAACCAACTATTTCTGAAAGGATATGTGCTTTAAAATTGGGAAAGTTGTAGTTTTTTTTCTGGATCTCTATTGTAGAATGGACAAAAGATAAAAAAAAATTACTGCCATCTACTGATGATTCATTACAACTCCTTACATCAATGAAAACAAGAGTTTAGAGATTAGACAGTATCAATTACTCTTTCATTCAAACCATATATGTGGGTATACACACTATGTAAGGTATTTTGAGGAATATAAAGACAAATTAAGCGACTCTGATTTAAAAAAAAACAGTATCGACAGTATTTGATAGTAAATGTTCAAACTACATATAAAACACAATCATTTCAAAAATATACTTTCAACTAAAAAATTAGCTTTACAGAAAACGAGGTAATAAAAAATACTATAATAAACTACCATTCTTCTATATTAACTATAATCAACATTTATTGAGTACTTATAAATAACTGGCATTGTTCTAAGTGCTTTTTACATGAATTATCTTTGTTTTCCCTCATAGCAATCTATAAGCTAGATATTATTTTTACCTATATTTTATAGATTAGTAAACTAAGACTTGGAGAAATTAAGAAATTAGGCAAAAGTCACACATCCAACATGTAGGAAGGATGGAATTTGAAACAATTAGGATTCAAATTAACATTATTAGGCACTTAACACGTACTAAAGCACTGTGATAACCATAATTTGTGCATTATCTCTTTTTCATTGAAGAGGCAAGCCCCTCATTTGACCCATGGGATATTTTTAAAAGGCCATGGCTCCAGCTTTGGGAAACTCATTATCTGGTACCTCGTCCAAGTTAATGAGCAAAATAAAGCAAGACTGTCAAACTCCTCTGAGTTTTTGAGAGCTTTTGGCTTAGAAGCACTAAGAGAAGGCAATTGTATATGTGATACTGTCACATAAGCACTTCTTTTCATTCTGAATGGGAAAAGCTGTCATGTGAACTTGCTAGGCAGTTAGTTTGTAATTCATACTACCCTTTTAAAATAGATACTTTTCAGAAAATAGAAAATATTATCAGAAAGATAATTTTTGTGTGAAACTATTTTTGTTTTCTAAGTGGGAGGAGGAGTTTAATATCTAATGCTGATATTTAGCTAGGAAAGCTAAAAAAATAACTTGGGGAAAGATGAGATCAAAGAGTTCCCTGGAATCAAGCAAATTTTAAATTATGGTCTATATTTGTCATAAACATAATGAAATCAGATCTGGGTGGTTCAATTCTAACAAATAAAGATAATAGTGGGTAAAATGTCACCTACTGCACAAACAAGTAAGAATATACATATTTCAGGTAAAAAAGAGTATACTAAGTCTTTTCAATCACATGTTTTCAAGAGAAGTTATAACATCATCCAAAGGAATTAATTAATTGGATCATTAAAAATGTATTCATACCTATTATCTGCCAGTGTGTTGGGATCTGCTAAGAGTAGGCATTACTCTCTTCTTTGACTAGGCAATGAGATTAAGGTTTCAGGACGCTGAAAACAAAAAACAAAACAAACAAACAAAAAAATCCCCAGAGAATTTGTAGTGTTCCTTAACTTCCTATCAAAGACAATACAGGCCACATTAATACATTAACCACACTGTTTCTAGCTTTCTACCAAAGGTGAGATTTCTCTGAATGTTCCACTAGTAATGGACTACCAAAATGTCTTGTTTTAAAGTGTAGACATACAAAGATCGATCAGCAGCTTGAATCCAAGCTTTAAGGGATGGCTAGGCAACTGTTTCAAATAGAAATGATAGGCCTGTGATGAAATCCAGTCACAACCTACCTACATGTTTCATTCAGGACAGTAAGAAGCAAGGTTTTTGTTGTTGTTGTTGTTTTGTTTTGTTTTTTAATCTGCCTACAAATAAGCATGATTCCTAAACCAAGAGGAGCTTGTGGGTTGAATGGTACTCCCCGCCCCAACACCTATAGGTCTGTGTCCTAACCTCCAGAACCTGTGAATGTACTAATTTGGAAAAAGGATTTTGTGGTTGTAGTTAAGGATCTAGAGATGAGATCATCCTGGATTTATTGACCCTAGATCCAGTGACAGGTGAGAGACTGACTACGCAAACAGTAGCCACACCATATATAAATACAGAATTCTGACCCACAACGTGCAGCAACCAACTCAGGAAACCAACCTGTCTTCTACAGTAACCAGACCAGGAGAACATCCCACTGTCTATAAGTCACACTTGTAGGAAACCAGACCACTATCTCTAATTACAATTCCAGAAGTCAAACAAAAACTTCTGTAACAACTGGCCCCAAATGACCAGTGTTTGCTGAATAACTGGCAGCTTTCCTAACTTTTGTCCCCACTTCCATCTTGGGATCAATCAGAGAAAGCCAAATATGCACACTAAACCAATCACATAGGATGCCTTGCTTCTAGTTAGCTCACTTACAGCTTCCTTATGCCAAATGCCTCTAATCAGGGTATACCTGAAGATTTCCTTTTTTTTCCACCATAAAGCTTTCCTACTTTGCCAACACACAAGTGATGCTGCTGACTTCCTTGCCATAGCAAACTCTGCATAAATAATCTTTGCTTGTTCTCATATGGTTGGTCATTATTTCCACACAAGCATTCTGACAGCAGAAAGGTAGAGGGAGATTTGAGATTCAGACACACATTAAGAAGACCACAGAAGGCTTGAGACACACAGCCCCAAGCCAAGGAACAAAACACCTGGAGCTACCAAAAGCCGGAAGAGGCAAGGAAAATGAGACACGTTGAAGGAAACATGGTCGTGAGAACACCTAGATTTGGGACTTCTGCTTCCTTAACTATGAGAGAATATATTTTTGTTGCTTTTAGCTATCCAGTTTGCGGTAATTTGTTATGGCAACCTTAGGAAACTAATACACGGTCTTAAGGAAATTTGCAATATTATATTTACTTTTCTTGAAGGACCCATGAATTAATGTAAATGGCTTAAAAACAACTGTTTACAGTTTTTCAGAATTTCATTTGTTCTTGCAAGAAGACTAAAGATTTATATGGTGATAGAAGAACTTTTAGGGATTTCTCAAAAGGTTCCTCTGACAGCAAGGCATTATCTCTGCCCCCAGAATGCTCTAGGTCTCTATGATGGAGACACATAGTAAGATAATTAAAATGTAGAGGTATAGTAGTTGCTCTCTTAGTCTACCTACACTTAAACTCTAACCAATGAACTCATTCTATTTCCTTTGGAAATCATAAACTGCTAATTCCCACACCATGCTAACTGGTTAGGAAACTCCTCTGATTGAATCTGTCTACTTCTCCTATCAGTACAATCTGACAGTGAGTTACTGGTGTTTGTTCCCAAACCTGTTTATGCCAGTTTTACTTGTTATTGTACTTTCATAATTAATAGTACGTAAAGCAATGAAATAGTGTGGAAATAAATTTCATTCTTTCAAATCTAATGTTTAATATTCTATAAAGACCCCCAAACAGTGAGTTGTTTGAATGTATGAGATAACAATAAAGATTATAAAAGAGAAATGTGTACTCAGACAGCTTCAAAAGTGCTTTAAGTTGTTTTCCTCTTAAAGGAATGAAATCTTAGGAAATCTTTGCTGATGGTTTAGAGGTATATTTATGCAAAAAAAATGCAACACAAAACTCTAATCAGCAGACCTTGTGCAAAGAAAAGGCCATGGGCCTTCTCAGTAGATTGGCAAATGGGTATACAGTTGATTTAGGCTAAAACAAAACATTTAAGATATTCATGTTATATTTTTATGATGACTCTCTGGTTAAACTGACTACAAAAACAAAACAAAACATAGCTTTGGGGTCCCTGGATGGCTTAGTCAGTTAAGTGTCTGACTTCACCTCGGGTCATTTAGCTCAGGTCACCATCTCAGGATTGGGGAGTTCGAGCCCTATAATGAAATCCGCTTGGGGCCTGCTTGGTATTATCTGTCTCCCTCTTTTTCTGCCCCTCCCCACTTGCATATGCTCTCTATCTCTCTCTCAAAATAAACTTAAAAAAAAATTTAGAGAAAATTCATATACTAGAAGTTCATCCTTATAAAGTGTACACTTCAGGGGCACCTGGGTGGCTCAGTTAGTTGAGTATCTAACTTCAGCTCAGGTCAGGATCTCACAGTTTTGGGTTCAAGCCCTGTGTCAGGCTCTCTGCTAACAGCTTGGAGCCTGGAGCCTTCTTCGGATTCTGTGTCTCCATCTGACTCTCTGCCCCTCCCCCACTCACTCTGTCTCATTCTAAATATTAAAAATATTTTAAAAATTAAAAAATATGAAGTGTGCACTTCAATGTTTAATTGACTTCTTCATTTTATTACTAGGTTATGGGTCTGGAGTGCATCAATGAGAGGACTTATTCTCTATGAACAAAATGCTAAGGAAGAAGCAATTAATTCTACCTGGTAAGGGGATGGGGATTCAAGGAAAGTTATGATTGAACTTGAAAGATCTTAAATAAGTAGCAGATAAATAAGTGTAAAAACAGATGTTCTAAGTAAAATAATAGCAAATGTAAAGGATAAAATATTGCAGCTCATCCAAGGAACAGCCTTTAGTTTAAGTGGCTTGGGAATAAGGCATTTGTTTTTTCAAACCTAATTATGCATCTGAATCATCTGTAGAGATTAAAACAAAACAAATAGCAGAGGAAAAAAAGCCCAACCTTGACTCCCTCCCGGAGATTCTGATTTAAATGTATATGGAGTGGAGTCCCTAGATTTATTTTCTTCTAGGTTCTACTTGTAGTTCTGAGGTGCAGCCAGGATTGAGATCCACTGGAATGGGGTGAATGGGGATGAGGGAAGAGAGAGGAGATGAGGCTAGACAGTAGTCTAGGAACAACTGGTGAAAGGAAATGGTATGTAAATACAAGATGACAAACCATCTCTTCCCTGGTAGCTTCCCTATTTGAAATATTTTTTTATTCTTTTTAACATTTATTTTTGAGAGACAGAGCAGGAGCGGGGGAGGGGAGGAGAGAGAGGGAGACACAGAATCTGAAGAAGTCTCCAGGCTCTGAGCTGTCCCCACAAGCCCGACTAGGGGGGCTCCAACTCTCCAAACCTCAAACCCAGAAATCATGACCTGAGCCGAAGTCAGATGCTTAACTGAGCCATCCAGGCACGCCCCCCCCCTTTTTTTAAAATGTTTTATTCATTTCTGAGAGAGAGAGAGAGAGAGAACAGGGGAGGGTCATAGAAAGAGGGAGACAAAGAATCCGAAGCGGGCTACAGGCTCTGAGCTGTCAACAGAGCCCAACGCCGGGCTCGAACCCACGAACATGAGATTATGACCTGAGCCAAAGTCAGATGCTCAACAGCCTGAGCCACCAAAGCACCCCACCCCCAAAATCTTTTTAAACTTTTTACTGCCACTACTGTTTCAGGAAAGAAAATGAATTCCCACCACTGTCTATAAAAATGGGGATAAATGTTTTAAACCAGCTTTGTAGCTCAGAGATCTCTATTTTACTTAAGGTAATATTTAACATAAAACTCAGAGAGAGCAGAGAGTGCATCTTCTAATCAAGTGTACCATTTACCACTCAGGGCTCTTAACAAATGTCCAACAAAAATCATGAAAATACAAATTTGGACAAAACATCTGCAAGGGATACTAAACAGCAAGTTCCTGTTCTGGGTTGGTGATCTCATTACCTAGTTAAATAGAATGGAAGCACTTGCCCACCTCCAAATGCTCTTCTAAACTCCTAGATAGCTAAGCCTCTCTCTTTCCGTTAAAATTTCTTCAGCATTTATCATTTAAAAGTCAATGAAGACAAAAGGGCCCTCTCCTTCCATCATAACCGGTTCCATAGGAAGCACCTTCTCCTACTCTTTGAAGACTGGATTGATTTTCCCTTTACCATAGCATCTGCCTTCCATGTAGTAGCTATTCAATATTTTTAAATGCGTGTTACACTCTTCGAGGTTAGATAAGGGATGCTAATTTATTACAATTCTAAGTCACTGACTTCTAATTTTCTACTTAGCGACACATACTTTTAAATGGGCATACAGTCAGTACAAGGAGCTGTACAGAGTTTTGGTCCCGTCCGCAAGTAAGGAGGAATCAGCAAAAAGGCAAAGGACGCTTCAACCAAGTTGCTTCTGGGAACAAACACCACACTGTAAAAAAATAACATCAAGGGGTCGCCTCGGTGGCTCCGTGGGTTGAGCATCTGACTTTGGCTCAGGTCTTGCTCTCCTGGTTGGTGACTTCCAACCCAGATCTTGCCCTCCGCTGTCAGCCCATAGCCCGCCTTGGATCCTGTCCCCTCTCATTCTCTCTCTCTCTCTCTCTCTCTGCTCTTCCCCTGCTGTCACATTCTCTCTCAAAAACAAATAAACATTTAAAAAAACAGCAAGAACAACAAACAAAATCCGCCCCCCTCCCCACGAGGCCTATTACTTGAACCATAGGAGGTTCCCAGGGTTGGGCTCTGGGGATTAAACCAAAAATCGGGCTCACACAGCTCTTCCGGGAGCGCGGGGGCGGGAGGCGGGTGCCGATTTGGGGAAGCCCTCGTCGGGAGAGGGAATCCATCCGCGCAACGGCGTCGTCGGCGGTTGGTTCCCCAGGACGCTCTCCCCGCCCCCTCCGGGGGCCCGCCCCCTCCCCACCGTCGCGAACCCCTCAAGCGCCAATCGTCTTGCGGCCCCCGTCCCCTCACGGGCCCTCAAGTCGGCCAGCCGCCCCGCTCCTCTCACGGGTCCGGCCTCCCGCCGGCCCACTCCCCGTCACGGCCCGCCGCCCTGGCCCCCGCCCGCGGACCCGTCTGGCTCCGGCCAGAGGGCCCTGGTTCCTGTTCCTCTTGCCTAGACAGTGCGGCGGCGGACGGCCTCGACGGGCCGCGCTGACCCGGAACTACTGAGGTGGCCGCGGCGGCCGGCTCTCGACTCCTCCCGCGCTTTCCCCGCGCCGGGGCTCGGCCCGCCGTGGCCGCTCGGTGCCCAGGCCTCTCCCCCACCTCCCTCGTGCCTCCCTGCCGCTCGCCGGCCTGGCCGGGCTCGGTCCTCTGCAACCGCGGGACCCCGGCCGTCGAGTCCACGCCTGGCGGCCAGGCCGCCCCGCGGGTGGTCGGCGCTGAGGTGGGTGAGGTGGGGCAGGCGGCGCCTCGTGCGGGGCCGCGGGGCGGGGCTTAGGACTCCTCCAGGTGCCCAGCGGGCGGCTTCCGGGCTCCGTCCAGACTCGGTGCCGGGCGCCGCCGAGCTCCCAGCGGACTGCGGGTCTGAGTCTACGTGGAGCGCGGTCAGGCGGCACCGGGAAAAGTGCCTACGGTGCGGGTCCAGGAAGTGCCAGGGGGGCGGAGAGCAGGCGTTGGAGGAGCTCGGGCAGGTGGAGACCGAGCGCGGGACCGGGCGGGGTGTCATTTCCCGAGGCAGAGGGGACGGTGGCCGTCACCTTCCTAGCCTCTCTCAATGTTTTTCAAACCTGACAAGATGAACTTCAGCGGGAGCCCAGTACGGTACGTAGTGGAGGTTGAGAGCGGCGGCAGGAAAGAAAGGTCCGGGGCCCAGGGCGGGGGTCTCCGAAGGCGGCCCCTGAAGAGAAAGCGAAGGCCGGGGATGGGCGTGCCGGGGCTGGAGGGGTGCTCGGGGCCAGGGCTGCGCACTGAGTAAGGAAGAGGGTTGGCGGCACATCTGATCCAAATCGCTGTAGCCTTTGTGCCCATTGCCATACTTGGAGTGCTGTGTAAATCCTGTGATCCACTCAGCTTTTATCCCCTTAAAAGCGTGAATTTTAGGTGCAGCTCCATTTAACCTATTGAACTTAAGGTCCCAATGTGTCATATGAAGGGGTGTGACCTAATATGCCAGTCACGTCAAGATTAATGATGTGTATAACATAAATTGACACCCTGTAATTAAAAAACCAAGACTTGGTCTAAGTCAACAAGTAATTCCCTACTTAAAACTTGCTGTGTGCAAAAACATCACACACACACACACGCACACACACACACACAAACCGAGGTACCATTGTTCTGCTGGAACGGTGTACAAATACTTTCACAAAATGAATTAAGAGAGGATTCTGCTCTCATGGTTCAAGTAGGACGGATAGTGGACTAATTTTAATGGGAGGAGTCCATATTTACTATTTTGTTTTTAGATCCATGAAACTTTTTTTTTTTTAATGTAGGTACAAATTTCTGTTGTAACTATAAGAAGGTTGATATAATTTTGCATTCTTGGGCTAATTTTTCTTTATAGGTGATTTCTTAGGAGGCACAGAAGGCTTCTTTGAAGGGCTGTGTACCCTGTTGAAGCATGGCAGAAGCAGTGTTGATTGATTTCTTTGGTTTGAAATCGAACTCACAGAGAAACAGCCACCAGGTATTACTGAAGACATTGAATGCTGTCCGATACCACCATGCTGCCAAGGCCAAGTTTCTTTGCATAATGTGTTGTAATAGCATCACCTGTGAAAGGGATGCGACACATAACTTTGAATTGGAAGCAAGCAATGGATTATCAGCTCTCTTGAGAGAATTTGAAACTGTTAGCAATCCTAGTATGGCTGCCTCCTTGTATACTATTAAACAAAAAATTGATGAAAAAAATTTGAGTAGCATTAAGGTAATTGTACCCATGCACCGGAAGACATTACTGAAAGCTTTTATTGATCAACTCTTCACCAACGTTTACAATTTTGAGTTTGAAGATTTACAGGTGACTTTGAGGGGAGGTCTTTTGAAACAGTCCACTGAAATAAACACAATTACAGATCAAGAACAAGAAGCAATCCAGAACGAAATAAAAACATTTTTGAGAAGCCTGCCAACACTGAAAGGAGAATTAACCATTATCACATCTCCTTTAATCTCAGGTATATTAAGCACTGTGTTGTTTTTACGGTATACATGAAAAAAGTCTTTCTTTAAAGATTGGTCACCTTTTTTTCCTTTTCTCTTTTGTAGACTGTAGGGTTTATAAGCTCGTTGGCATCAGCTGCAACATGGGAGTATCAGGGATGGCTTTGTAGTGTCAGCATGTCAAGGGATAGTCCCTTCAGAGCCACTCTCCATAAATAAATTTGCTTTGTGCAAATTCACCTTTAAGACAAATCCCCCAGCCTTCTTTTAAAATGAGATTTATGGCCCTAAGCATCTCCTGTTTAGAAATTCTGAAATCTTAACTCATTGGTATCTAGACAGAAGAATGAAATTTAAGAGTCCAGCTTCCTTCTTGGTTAAATGATATTTACTGTGAGCTATATGCTATTAGGAATACCAAAGACAAATGGGACACAAGATACCCTTTGACGAGCAATAATCCCATGGGGAAGGTAGAGCAAACACAAATCGTGTATAACAAGAATACATGGAGTGCTGTAGAAATTGGAAGCCAGAAAAACAAATGCAGCTTGAGGTGATCAGGGAAAGTCTTCCTAGGAGACTGGGTTTGTAACGCTCTATAATCTTTGTATAGCATATTTTTAATCTTCACTATTTCTATTCAACAGATATTTTCTTGCATGGATTTACTACAAGAACAGGTGGAATATCTTACATACCAACTCTTAGCTCATTCAACCTCTTCAGTAGTTCCAAACGGAGAGATCCCAAGGTGGTTGTTGAAGAAAATCTGCGTAGGTTGGGGAATGCTGCAGGATTTAATGTGGAGAAATTTTACCAAATAAAGGTAAAGTTTTGTTTCATGTTTTAGAAGATACAAAGTATATTCTTGACTCTGCTAATGACTACATGGACTTTAATCAAGCTGTTTAACTTTTGCATTTGGTGTTTTACTGAAAAATTTAGGATAATGCTTACGTTGTTTTTCTTAGTTCTATATGCTGTAGCTTAAATATCAATTCTGTGATAGATTTCAACTGAAGCTACTTCATGTCTAAGAGTACCTTTAATTCTCAGGGTATAGTATCACTGCCCTTTTTGATTCAGAAGGAAGATTCCAGAATGATGAGAGAGAGAGGCCATTATTTTCTAAATCAGTATTAGGAGGAACTAAGGTCACAATTGATGCCTTGTTTTTTACAGAATTCTAGCTTTATTTGAATCAGGAAAAGTAAAAATATCATTGATTTGGTAATTAACTTCTTTCCATGAATAACACTCTATGGAAAGTGCTGTAAGCAGAGATTTACCTGTGCCTAGTGTTTTCCTTTAACTAAAATATGCAGAGATTATAATTCCAAAACTTAAATGATAAGTAATTTGGTATTTACCACATATAGGAGTGATGTATTTAATGCTTGCTAGTAATATTAAACTGCTTGTAGAATTTCATACAAAAAGAGTTTTTTCAGAAAAGCTTATGGTGTGAGAAACCTACTTTGAAAATATTTTTATCACACATCTTTGGTATTAGACTGATCATGCCAATGACGTCTGGATTATGGGAAGGAAGGAGCCTGAATCTTATGATGGAATTACCACAAATCAGAGGGGAGTCACAATAGCAGCCCTTGGTGCTGACTGTATACCAATAGTTTTTGCTGATCCTGTCAAAAAAGCATGTGGGGTTGCTCACTCTGGTAAGTATCCTTAATGAAGCATTTAAGATTTTACCAATTTTGTAGTATAGGCAAAGTTATAATTTCTTTCTGGTGAGCATGACAAGACAGTTAATTACTTTACATGGTATTAAATGTAAAGGGGTAGAGCCACATACTCTTATTATAGAAACAGGTAAAGACAGTACATAAATCAAATTATATGAATCAGAGTAGAATTCCCAAAGGAAACAGTAACCAGGCTGATTTCTGAAGAATTTGTAGGACCTGACTAGTGCCAGTATTTCTCAGCAGGGGTGCTATTAACATTTTGGGCAAGATGATCTTATATTGCAGTTGGCTTGGCTTTCAAAATTCTTAATGCCAGCAGCACCCCCAGTTCTTTTAAGAACAGCAGCAACAAAAAGAAAGCCCTCATGCTTTTCAGAACATTCCAAAGGGAGTGGTACTTCCTCTAGTTGAGAACTCTTGAAGTCCAAGCAATGGGGAATAGGAAGGTGAAGCATGTTGCAGAAAAGTATTCATGAAGATGAAGGTACAGCAGCATGTATAAAAGGTATGGAGGTAAGAAAAAGCAAGATATGTTTGGAAAAGGTCATTTAGTTTAATATGTTATAGTCTAGTGCCTTTATTATCTAAAGATAAGAACAGAGGATTTTTAGATGCTATGTTAAGATTATGGAATTTTGTTTTCTGAAGGTATTTTAAAATGCTGTTTAGATTATCCTATGGTTATGACTCCATGTGAAATAAGGGATGATCTTTCAGATTTCCTTCTGCTTGTAAATCTAGGACTACTTTGCTTTTTAGACAAAAGATAAATAAGAAAGTGGCATATTTTTCTTTTGATCTAGCTAGAGGTATAAGATTGGATGTCTAGAAGTCAGATTTTGATTTGACATTATCAAAATGTTATTTAACATTGGAGTCTTAGTTCCTGAATATAAAAAAGAGACTCTTATTTGTTACTTCTTAGGTTTTTAAACATTATTTTTAAATACCAAATATTAAAACTGTCAAAATGAAACCCTTTTGAATCAAGTTAGAGGTCTGACACTTTCTGATTTCAAAACTTATTATAAAGCCACAGTAATCAAAACAGTATGGTACTGGCATAAGACAGAAATATAGACCAATGAGACAGAACAGAGATCCCAGAAATAAACCCTTGCATATATGGTCAAAAGATTTTTTTTTAATGTTTTTTATTTATTTCTGAGAGACAGACAGCATGAGTAGGGGAGAGTCAGAGAGAGGTAGACACAGAGTCTGAAACAGGCTCCAGGCTCTGAGCCTGCCATCAGCACAGAGCCCAACACGGGGCTTGAACCCATGAACTGTGAGATCATGACCTCGCTCAACTGACTGAGCCACCCAGGTGCCCCTATATGGCCAAAAGATTTTTAACAAGGTACCTAGACTATACAATGGGGAAAGGATAGTGTCTTCAACAAATAGCGCCGAGAAAACTGGATATTCACACACAAAAGAATGATATTAGACCCTTCTCTCACATCATATATAAAAATTAACTCAAAATGGGTTAAAGACCTACATGTAAGAGCTGAATCTATAAAATTCATCAAAGAAAACAGTGTAAATCCCTGTGAACTTGGATGAGGCAATGGTTTCATAGATGCGATACCAAAAGCACAAGAAACAGAAGTAAAAATAGGTAAATTGGATTTTATCAAAATTACAAACAACATCAAAGGACACTGTCAACACAATTAAAAGGCAACCCATGAAATGGGAGAAAATATTTGCAATTCATTTATCCAATAAGGGGTTAATGTCCAGAATATATAAAGAACTCCTACAATTCAACAACCACAAAAAATAAATAACCCAGAAAAATAGGCAAAGAAGTTGACTAGATATTTCTCCAAACGTGATAAGCAAATGGTCAAGAAACATGTGAATATATTAATTAAATATATTAATTAGGGAAATGCAAATCAAAACTATAGTGAGATATCATCTCACACCCCTTAGGATAGCTAATATTAAAAACAAACAAACAAAAATAACAAATGTTGGTAAGGATGTGGAGAAACTGGAACCCTGATGGTGGGAATGTAAAATGGTGCAGCTGCTATAGCAAATAATGTGGTTCCTCAAAAATTTTAAAATAGAATTACCCTGTGATCCAGCAATTCTACTTCTGGGTATATCCAAAAGAATTGAAAGCAGGATCTTGACAAGATACTTTTACACCCATACTCATGGCAGAATTATCCACAATGGCAGAGAGGTGGAAAGCAATCTAAGAGTCCACAGATGGATGACTAGATAAGCAAACTGTGATATATACATACAATGGTATATTTTAGCATTAAAAAGGAAGGAAATCCTGACACCCGAGTGAGGAGTTTGAGGGCATTATGCTAAGTGTAGTAATTCAGTCACAAAGAGATACTTGTAAGATTCCACTTATATGAGGTATCTATAGCAGTCAAATTCACAGAAACAAAAAGAATGGTAGGTACCAGAGATGGGGGAAAGTGGTGAGGGGGTGTTGTTATTTAATGGGTATAGAGTTTCAGTTTTGCAAGATGAAAAAGTTCTAGAGATTGGTTGCACAACAGTGTGAATGTATTTAACATTACTGAAGTATACACCTAAAAAGAGTTAAAATGGTAAATTTTATATTACATATTTTTCCCACAATTTAAAAAAATATCTGAAAAAAGTGAAGGAGAGAGAAGACTAACAAGGTGTATATAATCCCAGTGGAAACTGAAACTGCAGCATATTTGTAAAGAAAGTGGAAGGGACCTCCCATTAAATAACTCTTCCACATCAGGTGCTTTGTGTAATATACCTAATTTAAAAACCAATATTTTAGTTAATTGATTATTTAGCTTAATTTTTTAATTTATTTGCTGTTTCTGAACTTTGAAAACCATACAAACTGCATTTTTAAGGTAGATATAAATTAAGGTAAAATGTTATATTTTAACTTCCTTATCTTTTTTTCTTCCTGTTTGCCAGGTTGGAGAGGTACTTTGTTAGGTGTTGCTATGGCTACAGTGCATGCTCTGATCACAGAATACGGCTGTGGTTTGGAAGACATTATCGTTGTACTGGGCCCTTCAGTAGGACCTTGCTGTTTTACTCTGCCAAGAGAATCAGCAAAGGGGTTTCATAATCTTGATCCTGAATGTGTACGGTTATTTGATTCACCAAATCCCTATGTTGACATTCGTAAAGCCACTAGGTAGGTTTGATTTCATCCCAGAACTGCAAGTTTGATTATTGCTTATTGTTTCTTTTTTCTTTCTTTCTTTTTTTAAAATGTATAGTCTCTGTGGCATGAGTACCTCAGTTTATTTTATTTTATTTTATTTTATTTTTAAATATTTTTTGTTTTTGAGAGAGAAAACAAGAGCATGCACAGACCAGGGGCTGGCCACAGAGAGGAAGACATTGGGTTCTGTGCTGAGAGCAGTGAGCCTGATGTGGGGCTCAAACTCATGAACCATGAGATCATGACCTGAGCCCAAGTCAGATGCTCAACTGACTGAACCACCCAGCTACCCCTGTTTCTAAAATGAAAAGTACTTTAGACAACAATTAGTAACTACAAGAAAAATTCAGGCGGCAGATATTTAAGTAGCTGACGTACACATATACATAAAAACTTATTTTAAGTATGAAATCTATTGTCATTTAAGTTTCAATAGTGAAATTTTCCTGTCTGGTGCCTCTTACTGACTTAAAAGTGAAAGAGGATATATTTACCATGTAGTTTTGAGAGATCTATTTAAATTTCATATAGAAAAGTTGCCATATACTTCATAGGCATTCCTCAACTAAAATCTAAATATAATAAACTATCAGAAAGCTGATGGTTCAAAACTGTTTTTATTCTCTAACTAGAGGAATATATTTCATAGAAAAAATGTTAAGTAATATAATCACATAATCACTTTCAAGCTTTTTATGGTCCCTTATAATTTTGAATTATGAAGTTTTGCTATTAATAGCCATTATGATTCCTATAAAGGAAAATTGATTTGAATTGTGTTTCTATTCCAGCCAACAAAACCTTGCCCAGATTCTGCCTCATTTAACACATAAGTAGAAAGGATTGAAATTGATGTGACTTCTTAATGTGACTTGTGGAATTAGTCTCACTAATTTATAGTCACATTTCATATCACAAGTGTTTATGGAGAAACAAATTCTCTGTGAAAACTCTGGTTAAGCGGAGGACAGGAGAAGGGAGGGTCAAATGCCTAAAAAGCATGTTCTGAATCAAATTAATCTTGTCTGCAAATACTATAGTAACTTTAGAAGTTTTTTTCTGAATAAGTACTTGATTTTGATTATAAAATTCCCAGGTCATGTCTGCAGAACAATATGGAAGGTTTTACACTTTATATATGAATTTAAGTGATTAATGGTGATAAAATCTACCAATTCCTGTACTTGTTCATATTCTGTATCTGAGAATCAACTTGCATTGTTTCAAGCAGATCTTTCCTAGAATTCTTTTATACCAATATCCAATACATACACACACACACATTTTACTGCTTTGTCTATTGGTAAAATAAACTCTTGCTATCTTTTGAAAAATCTTTATCCCAAGGATTCTTCTAGAACGAGGAGGAATTCTACCACAGAATATTCAGGACCTGAACCAAGATCTCAACATCTGTACATCCTGCCATCCTGACAAGTTTTTCTCCCATGTCCGAGATGGCCTTAATTTTGGTACACAGATTGGCTTCATATCAATTAGAGAATGAGGTACAGTAGGTGTTCTCTCTTCCTTACCTTCTCTCCTTCCTCTTTCTACCTTTCCCTCCCCTCATTTTTAAGAATTAATCATATTTAACTTTACTCCTTTATTCTTGTAGGAAGAATTAAGTTTCTACTTTTTATTGAAGCAATAGAGGTAGAAAAGTTAATTTTTTATGATATGCTGTAATGTAAAGAATAGCCACTCCTTTTCCTAATTAATGAAGAATAATCAGTCCAGCATAAAAGTATAAAATGAAATCATTTATTCTTTAAAAAAAAATCCTGTACGAATATCATATATCTTCTACTTCATATCAGTATATTTCCTATCATAACATCCTCATACTTTTTTTTTTATTCTTTTGATTTGAGAAGAAATCTTTACATAAAGATTCTAAATTCTAGAATAATAAAAAATCCTCTCATACACAAGCTGGCTTGGTTTTCAGCTAGATTTCTAACTGATTATCTATAGCAGGAGTTTACCAGTTTTCTTTAAAGGATAAATAATAAATATTTTAGGCTTTGTAGTATGTGCAGTCTCTGACTCTACCCACCTTTGCCATTGTACAACAAAAGCAGACAGGAAAAACACAGAAACAAATGAGTATTACTATATTTCAGTAAAACTCTATTTATAAAAAAAGGTGAGGGGCCAGACAGGTTTAGCCCACGGGCTATAATTTTCTGATACCTGATCTGTATTCAAAGAGCAAGACTGAGTGTAATTTTATTAAATTAGTATTTATTTCAGATAATTTTCTTAGAGGTATACAGAAATATTTCATGACAGTGATTTAGTGCTAACCCTTTAGCATATATCTAATTTTCCTTAAGTTTACTTTTAACTGAGTTAATATTTTTAATCTTCACAATGGCTTTAACTCTGTAATATACAAAAGACTTTAATGGACTTTATGATTTTCAGCTTTATATTGTAATAGCACTAGTAAGGGTCTCTTATTTGTTTTCAATGTATTTTTACAGATACTTGACTGGATTTTTACACAACTGTTTCCTGCCTCCTTCTAAACCCTTCGGCAAAAGAGAAATTTAGCTGTTTGATTTACTTAAAGCTGAAAGGATTATAATGGATAATTCATCTTTAGGTATATTTTCATTAATATCCAAAAACCAAATGATTTTTATTTGATTCTAACAAAATCTAGATAAGGATTATTCTTAAAGTTTGTTCTATTTTCTATGTTACATAAATCTGGAATAGGTCTGCTCAGTTCAGTATTTATTGGATACCCTCTATTTGTCAAGCATTGGTAAAGCATAGGTGAATCAAAATAAGTAGTAACTTTTCCCCTTAAGTCTAATGCAGTGGAGGAGATAGACACCTATAATACTTAAATTTAATTTTGTTAGTAATGGAAGAGTACAGAAGAAGAAAGGATTAATTCTATCTGGAAGGCAGGATAGTGAAAGTGCTATAGAGAATATGATATATCACATGGGCCCAAAAGATGTACAGGCTTTTGACAAATGAAGAACAACCATAACAGATAGAGGGAACACCATGAACTAGGGCATGAAATTGAGTGTGTAACATGTTATAGAGAGAGAAATGTGTAGGCAGAAGTTACTGGAAAAACAGTTTGGAAAGAGATTAATTAGGGTCTCACATGCCATGTCAGAGAGTTTAGAGTTGATTTTTCAGGTAAAAAGTAGGCATAAAAAGTAGGGGAGTGTTTTTATTTCCTTGGCATCTATAACAGGATGGATTTAAATTGCAAGAGATCAAGGCAGAGGGAATTAGTTAACAGGCAAAATATTTTTACAAAAATAAAAAATGAAGCCTAAATAAATACCATGGAAACTAAGATGGAAAAGAATAGATGGAGAAAGTTTTCAGACATGGAATCAGAGATCCTCTTAATAGATGAAGACAGGTGAAGAAGAGTGGAGAAGTCATTGATGACTCCAAGATTTCTGCTTGGTTAACTATCGAGAGTGGCAACAAGAGGAAGAAAGAAGTTTGGGAAAAGGGAGAAGGATGATGAGTTTGACACACAGACTAAAGTATATACAGATGGAAATATTTGGTCAATGACGAGAATACAGCCGTGGCACCTTGGTGGGAGCTGGGAGAAAGAGCTTTAGAAGTTGGCTATGCAAAAATGAGGCCTGAGTCCATTGGAGTAGACTGAATCATCTAGGCAGAACTACAAGATAAGAAAAAAAAGGGGGTTTGAGGGTGAAACCTCTTACAATACCTGCATTTGAAGAATAAGAAGCTGAACCAATAATAATAATAAAAAAGATTAATCATTAGAAATCAGGAAAAAACACCCAGAGTATTCCTAGTTTGAAGAAAGAAGCAAGCGTGGATGTGAGAGGTACTCAGAATTTTCAGAGAGAAAACATACAAGAAATGTTCAGAGATGGAATAAAATGAGGACTAAGAAGAAACCAGTGGATTAACCATTCTGAGGCTGTTCTATAGGCAGTTGTGGGAGAGTTGGATTTCAGGGCACTGACGAAGAGGATGCATAGGTGTCCACTCTTCTTTGATAGTATTTACTAGAGAAGATAAAGAACTGGGGGGCTATATCTCAAAGGAAGAGGTATTTTTTTTTCTTTTGATCAGGAGTTTTAAGTATATTTGTAGGCTGAAGAGAGGAGTCAAGCTATTTTCACTTGGGAAAAGTGGTATATATGGCATGTATTTTTAATGTTTGTAGTTACACTGCATCTTAAAAATTTTTATCCTATTCATATGTTTCTTTATGAACAGGTAGTAGAATAATGGAAAATTATATTTGTCGGGTATTTACAAGGGACTTAACATATATTACCTCATTTTATCTTTACAGCTATTCTGAAATACATGGGCCAATTGTTATTTTTATTCAGATGAGGTAACTAAGTCTCACTGAGGTAGAGTTTAAAATCATACAATTTGTGATAAAGTAGGATTTGAACCCACATCTTGTGACTTCAAATCTCATTTCAGATTTTACAGTTAATCAAAGCTATCTAAGTCGAATTTTTATTTTCAACTTTTTATTAATATCATCCTTTCATACATTCAGTCAAAATTTTGTTGAGATACTAGGATAGGTTAAAAAAATGTAGCCTTTAGGAGGTTTAATATATAGTGAAAGATGGCAGTCAATAAACCAGCAACTGTAGTACTGTGATATGTGTTGTAAAGTTGTCACAGCCTGATACCTTGTTCAGTTGATTTCTTCTATGCAACTCATAGGTCAGTGTAAAATTTAAATACCTCATTTCTTCCAGTTCAGGGAAGGCATTAAACACAAAGTATAGGACAACAATTTAAAACTCAGGCAAAATACTTTTGTTTAATGATAACAATAAAGAATAATTTCACACATTAAGAAAAGTTGATAATTTTCCAGTTCTTTACTATGCATTATTTTGTTTGAAGTTTACAAATTTACAAGAGTATTAGGTGGCCATATTCACATTATGTACCAAAATATTCTAAAATAAAATAAAATTATATTTGACTATGATTTTAATTTATCTGTTCCAAAGTATTTTAATGAAAAGTCTCCATGCTGTTTTACTGAGTGAAAAAGTATTGGTTCAGTAACTTAGAGACAAAAATAACTAGGTTGTTAAATAATCATGTCTTATTGTTTCTGTAAGATCTTTGTCACTCTGAAGCATTTATATATAGGCTTATGGTACTTTGACGGTACAACCACAATGATGATTTTTATTTTTAATAAGTAGTTTTCAAGCTAAGCTCTGCTACTAACTGTGGGTAGGCAATACTGGTTGTCATTTTATTAAGAAAAGGAATTAAGTTTGTAAATTAGATGAGAACTCATGACATGATTCTTTGGAGGTACTAAGTATCAAACTAAACTTTGTCTAACTTTGTAATTTTAAATTGTGAATAATAGTATAGTTACCAAGTAACTTTGCTATATTCCATTGCTTTATAAAACAAATGAAAAGTGATGTTTCCACTAGGAGGTAGTATTTCTACAAGTAGCTTTGCTCTGTTTCTTGGTATAAAGTTGAATCAGTCTTACTCTCTGTGTTTAATTGTATCAGGGGGGAAAAAAAAGGAGGTGAATTTAAAGTTAATGAATGTATTGCTGTTACTTTATATGCACCATCTTGTAGTTCAAGTATATAAAAGCATTTATGTACACCCACCTCACCCACCTCACCCAGCTGGATCTATCTCATTTCTACAGAATCTCCAGTAATTTCTTTTCTATAATTACAGTAGAATTTTGGGGGAGAAATGCAAAGAAGCTTATTCTATGACACATGACAAAAACATAAATAACACCCATGGATTCAGAAGCTGAAGGATGTCAATTACACATGAATTATATCATTTTATATTTCAAAGTAGATTTAAAAATTGTTTCTACTTGGTTGTGCTAAAGTTATACTTACAATATATCCATCCTACCTTTTTTTTTTTTTCTTTAAGAGAGAGAGAGAGAGCAAGAATGGGGAAGAGGGGCAGAGGGACAGAAAGAAAGAGAATCTTAAGCAAGGTTCACATTCAGCCCAACATGGGGCTTGATCCTACAACCCTGGGATCGTGACCTGAGCTGTAATCACTAGTCGGACGCTCAACCAACTGAGCCATTTAGGTGTCCCAACATCCTACTTGTTATGTGAACTCTTAGATGCCACCAATCTGTGGAAGTCCAGCACTTTCAAGAAAGCACTACTTAGTTATCTAAGTGTTTGTGTATGTATGCATGGATCTGAGTGTTTGTGCTAAATGGCAAGCAAGAAATATGCATGTATTATATATGACATATAGCCTCTTTGCCCTAAATAATGTAAATTCAGACAAAACATATTGGAGGCCGTGGAATTATGGATTTCTTTTTATAAAGTTTTTATAAATTGTGCAGTAAAGAATGGGAATCATGGTTTATATGCTTACTGTATGTGTTTATGTGAACTGTGGCCTAGAGCACATATGTTTCCATTGTAGGCAATGTTTTTAAACTTGTGATTTCACAGATGGAGCAGCTGCTACAAGTAATGAGTTATTCTATGCTGCTATTTGCTTAGTAAAGGAAATAGAATCTGTCACTACTACTTTTTCCAGAATAACACATTCAGTTTGGACTCATGATCACATGTCAATTGTGTAGACAAACTTTTCACACTTGCCTTAAATGGATTTTCTTTATAGAGAAATAAATGCTCATGTCATATTTCCTATGTCCTTGTGCCAAACAACTCTGTGGGGGGGCGCCTGGGTGGCTCAATTGGTTGGGCATCTGACTTTGGCTCAGGCCACAATCTCACAGTTCACGAGTTCAAGCCCTGTGTTGGGCTCTGTGCTGACAGCTCGGAGCCTGGAGCCTGCTTTGGGTTCTGTGTCTCCCTCTCTCTCTGCCCCTCCCCTGCTCATGCTCTGTCTTTCTAAAAAATAAACATTACAAAAAAAATTTTTTAATGAGTCTCTTGTAGACAGCATATAGATGGATCTTGGTTTTTTATCCATTCTGATACTCTGTGTCTTTTGATTGGAGCATTTAGTCCATTTACATTCAGAGTGATTATTGAAAGATATGGATTTAGTGTCATTGTGTTATCTGTAGGTTTCAGGCTTGTGGAGGTGTCTTGTCCTTTATAGTCTGCAGCATTCCACTCACAGAGTCCCCCACAGGATCTCTTGCAGGGCTAGTTTGGTGGTCATGAACTCCTTTATCTGGGAAAGCCTTTATCTCTCCATCTGTTATGAATGACAGCTTGCTGGATTAAGGATTCTTGGCTGCATATATTTCTTATTCAGCACATTGAATATTTCCTGCCACTGCCTTCTGGCATGCCAAGTTTCAGTGGGCAGGTCTGCTACTACCCTTCTGTGTCTACCCTTGTAGGTTAAGCTCCATTTGTCCCTAGGTGCTTTCAGAAATCTCTCTTTATCTTTGTATTTTGCTAGTTTCACTATGATATGCTGTGGTGAAGATCTATTCTTATTGATTCTGAAGGGAGTTTTCTGTGCCTCCTGGATTTGGATGTCTGTTTCCTTCCCCAGATTAGGGAAGTTCTCAGCTATAATTTGTTCAAGTAAACATTCTGCCCCTTTCTCTCTCTCTCTCTCTCTCTCTCTCTCTCTCTCTCTCTCTGCTTCTGGAACTTCTATGATATGGATATTACATTTCATTGAATTACCTAGTTCTCTAATTCTCATGGTCTATTATTTTCTAACTCTCTTTTTCTTGGCTTTATCATTGTCCATAATTTTATCTTCTATTTCACTTATTCTCCCCTCTGCTTCCTCCATCCATGCTGTCACTGCAACTAGTTTATTTTGTAACTCATTTACAGCGTTTCTTAATTCATTGTGACTATTTCTCAGTTCTTTGATCTCTGCAGCAATAGATTTTCTGCTGTATTCTATGCCTTTTTCAAGCCCAGCTATTAATATTATGAATATTATTTTAAATTCTTGATGAGATACATTGTTTATATCTGTTTTAAGCAATTCTCTAACTGTCATTTCCTGGAATTTCTTTTGAGGAGAATTCTTCTATTTCATCATTTTGGCTAGTTTTCTCTCCTTTATGTGTTTTAATAGCTTGTAATGTATCCTGCACCTGTGAGAACTACTATATTAAAAAGGAGTCATACACTATCCAGGGCCTGGCGCTTCAGGAGGTCTCTTTGGAGTGTGTTGTTTGCTCTCTGTTGTTTTGACTCTGGCTGCTTCATCTCCCTACTTGTAGTGGTGGTTTGGATCTTCCACTAGGTGTGCTTTGATTTGTTGATTGATGTAACCCTGGAAAAAATTTTAAAAGGGGGAGGGTGGTAGTAGGAGAAGACTTATCCCATACAAAGAAAGAAATGACAGGGGCGGGGGAAAAAGAAAAGAAAAAAAAATTGATCAGGCAGAGAATAGAGAAACTATATGGCTGAATACAGAGAGAAAGAGGAAAAATAAAAAAGAAGGAGATACAGAAGAGGTGTCAAAAGAATAAATTTAAAAATGTCTGCTTAAACAAACCACCAACCAGAATAGAGGAGGGAAGAAATAAGAGGAAGTAAGAAAGAAAAAAAATTATATATGTATATATGTGTGTGTGCATACATATATAATAAGAATTGACCAAGAATCAAACCAGAAAATGCAAAAACACTGGGCTGATATCTGATGGTGTCTTAGAACCAGTGGCTGTGCTGGTTTGGATGAGGGGCCATCTGGTTCAGTCAGCGTCAATCTTGGTTTGGTAGATAGCAGTTACCAGGCACAGAGGAGCAGGGTTTGGTGTAGGTGGGTCCCGCCTCCACTGTGGGCCCTCTGTCCTGCTCCCTGAAGCCCGACTTTGTCGGTGATGGGGGGAAAGAAGGCACACCCAGTCTCTCCTCCGAGGACCAGTGTCCCAGACCACTCTGTTCAGACCTTTATCACAGTGACACGTGGCAGGAGCGGGCTGGTTTCTCTTGCAGGGTCTTTTGTCCTTGGAGTGGCTATATGCCTTCTTCCCACAACACTCAAGGGAGGGGACTACTCTCTCTGACTGCACCTCTGAGCTCGCTGCCAAGCAGCCCCGGGTTGGATTCCTTCCTCCCCAGGTGCACACACAGGGTGCTGGCCCCAGTCCAGAGGAAGTCCCACAACCCTGGATCATCACTCCTAAGGCTGTTTGCAAGTTAGAAATTGGTTCTTTCTCCATTTTTTCCATTCCCTGGTTTGCAGTCCAGAGAAGTTTTTCTCATGTACAAATACAATTCTACGCTTCCATAGCCTCTCTTTCTCTTTCTTTTGTCTCTCCACAGAGAGTGATCCCTCCCCTCCTTGCCTATACTGCCCATTTTATCTCCCAATTTACAGTCACGTGCCTATGGCCTGCCAAGCTGTCCCCCTGGGCCCGTGGAGATGTTTCTGTCACTCTGTAGCCTGGATTCCTAGAATTCCAAGTCATCTGGCCTGAATACTGCTGTGTTTGAGAGACAAGGGAACTATGGGCCCCCTACTTCTCTGCCATGTTAACTCTTCCAACTCATAACCATTCGTTAAGACTCAGACCAGGGGTCATCTTTTCCAGAACATTTTCATTGGTCATTTTCTTGACTAACATCTTGTGCATCATTTTTTATAGTCCTCAGTGTCCTGATTTTTAAATGTTGGTCTGTTTACTTGTCTACTGGTATATGTAAACTCTATCAGAGTGAAGACCAGGTCTTACTCATTTTTATATTTTTAGTATCTTGCAAAGAGTAACACCTTGTAATCACCTATATCTATAGAAGAAAAAAGGGAGGGAAACAGGGAGGAATCCTTTAATGATTCAGTACAAAGTCCAAAGGGATAAAGATAATAAACCATTTTGGGGATTGTTGTGTATGTGTGTGTTGTTATTTTTTGCCAAGAAGTTTTCTATCTTCAATATTTAGTTGAATATATTTAAATATAAATTATAGCAATACAGTAATGTCATTTTAAGGAAAGAACATATAAGATGGAGATCTGTTTTAAAGTGTTCAGCCATGTTTCTCTAAAAACATTAGAATTTCCAGTTTCCAATTCATATAACAATGTAAACTTTAAATTATTGCTTTAAAAAACATGTCTTCTTTAGGAATGATGTATGTTAGAGACTCTATGTGTTTTCAAAACTGTTGATTTCTTTCCACTCCTATAATAATATATTTTAGTATTTATCTTATATTACACAAGAGCCATGGTCCCTGACCCCATGGAACTTACATTAACTTACATCCCATTAGTGAAATGAATATATTCATATAATCAGATCACTATGACAGGAATCCAGAGAGTAAAGATCAAAAAGGTAGGTCTTTTCCATGAAAATTCAATAGCTTTTCAATAGTTCTATTGATATTTGAAAGTAAAGTAGTAAAATTGTTTTGTTTTGTTTCAGTAGAGTCTATTTCTAGAGCAATAGTTCTCAACATTGGCTGCATTAATAGAATTGCCTGGTAAGCTTTAAAAAAACACCCCAAATCAATTCAATTAGAATGGTGGTTGGGAGGGTACACAGTAACATCAGTGCACATGAAAGCTTTCTTGATGATTTTAATGTGTAGCCAATGTTGAGGACCACTGCTCACTGGGTACTTTTATATCTTCAATGTTTAGT